AATCTTGATCAGATTTTAAAGTCTAGATTGATTTTTTCCATATGTTTGTTCCATCGCATGCTAAAACAACAACGAAATATCTCTCCAAAGCGGGTAAAAATATAGTGGAAAATCGATGTTTAGATAAATTTAACAAATATTTATATAACCTAGCACGAAATATTAAGAAAAGATCAAAGAGATTCAAGAAAAAACACTTTAAAAACCCTAAAATTCACTTTTCGCTATATAAAAATATAGAAATTGTTTTGTTTTTCCATAATAAGCCTCGTTCTCGTGCAGTATAAAGGCGCGGCCACTAAGTTTCGCAATTGGTCTATAGTGTTAGTGTTTTGACTTTTGAGTTCATAATACTGGTAAACCATGGCAGTATTTTAGCAAAAGGTAGTGCAACACTGCAACCTCTATAATTATTATTTAGGTATTGTCAGGATGGAATTTGAATCTGTTGGAGCAAGTCTATCGCAGAGATTTTATGAACCATATTGCATGCAATTTGTACATAATCATATATTTTCCCATTATATTTATAAACTGACAGTTAATAATTAATCTTTCACAGACCAATAAAATCATCTGGGGCCGGTAGTTCAAAGGCTTACACAGGCTTCGAACAACCGGCCTCAGATGATTTTATTAGTATGTGAAAGAGTCATAGTATTAACTGTCAGTTTATAAATACAATGGGCAAATTAGAGATAGAGTATATAAAATACTAAAGTAGGCTCATTGCCAGTTGATGGGTTAGGTTAACATAATTAATAAACTATAGATGGTTTTGTTGTATCTCACTCGATGGAAATTTTAATGTTGGGTTTTGTTGATGGATAAATCGAGTACTTAATAATTTGAATTAAAATATGGACCTAACCAGGCCCTTATTGCCTGAATGGCATCCTATTCAAATAATCATTTAACTTAAAATGAAGGGATCTCCCTCAATTGATTTAGCCTGCAGAGGGCCAACCCCATTCCTGGATCACCTAACCTGAAATTCAGGCCCTACTTTCAATTTTCTGTCTGCATCCTTACATTAATGATAATGATTATTCAATTAACCCATTAACTGCCAGCGCTCTCCCCTTGACAGGTAAAATCGTCTGGCGTTAGACAGAGTAAAATACTAAAATAGGGTGCATCAGGGTGCAATGCGACGCAATTGGTTAACTAGACACATGGGCAGATAGGCCAGTTAACCCATTAAGCGCCAGCGCTCTACCCTTGACAAGTAAAATCGTCTGGCGTTAGACAGAGTAAAATACTAAAGTAGGGTGCATCAGGGTGCAATGCAACTCAATGGGTTAAAGTCAACAATTTCTTTTTCATCCTGAGAACATCCAGTTTCAGTCCTCCTGCAGAACTTGTTTGACACTGACTTGGCAGTGATATTTCTGTAGATCTGCCATTATTTTATTCCAGATATGAACTCACAGGCCCTATAAATTAAGATTAAATACATAATGCCATTAATTTACAAAATGGACCTTTGTATGTTTCCCACCATATTTTACATGGGTCATGCCATATAACTTCAGTACATGGTCATTTTTGGATCCATCCATGCCTGGGACATATCATAATCTTGAATCTAATTTGGGTATTCAATCATGTTTAATGGACATAGGCAGTCCACATATGGACTGGTCATGCTATATGTCTAAGTGCATGGCTGTTGCCAAAATAGCCTCAATCTACACAGACCACAACAAAGGTATAAAAATTACTTACCAAGTGATCACCCATTGTATATAATTTGTCTGACATATTTATAGATCTTTATTTTTATACTTTACACTACAAAAAGGATAAGAATGAGACAATTACATTTGAGCATAATTATGATCATGATTATCCCCCATAGCCATGTGAGAAATCATAGCTACCTCCTTATACCTTCCATGACAATTATAGTCACCTGTTTAATTAACACAGGAAATAAAAGGAAATATGACTGGCCGGTAGTAACTACAATTAGCCTTTCCGGCAAAAGAGATCACAGTGAATTCTGGAATCGTTTGGAGGGACAACAAATATGATGACAGGCGTCAAATATTGAACGAGTAGAAGTATCTACCATCAAATATAAACATTTTCCATGATCGAAAATTGAAATATCTCCTTTTTACATTAAATATTTTATATTTAATTCATGTGTGCTGCCATATTTCTTGTCCCTCCAAACAAGGGATTTGTGCGACTAGACCCAGGACTTTGGGAAATGGCTAATTATTTAACTGTATACACTCTTTGCACTCTTAGTATCTTACATACTTACCTATAATTTGTCCATCACATATTATATGCAGTTAAAATACATCATTCTGGGTGTGTAAACTGATCAAGTATTTGGTTGACCTTGTTAAAACACAATAGGAATTGTCTATATATAGCAGTGATAAAAATTACAAACAACAATAGGGACGGAAGGAGCGGAGGACATATGATATGATAGCTTTTTTGACATATTCAAATTTCAAAGTTAAAAAGACTCTGACAGAAATTTAAAGTGTATTTGGAAAAATTTGAACAATATTTTGAGAATTAAATGTTTTGTTTATATTTACGGCTTTTTATTACAGTATGACCGTGGTTTCTTGTTGCATGTATACTGAAAACATCGAGAAAAATATGAAAATCCAATGCCTATATAAAACTGAGTACTTTTAAGTTTGTCCGTGTGCTATGAAAATGACTAAAATCAAAAGGTCGCGTTGTTTTAAGCCTATACAACTAACCTTACCTCAAAACAAGACACTTACCAAGTTATTTTCTTCAGTATTTTCCCCTTAATCTTCATAAAAAACCACAAAGTTTAAACGATATTTATTTTGCTGTAAAAGCCCAGCCGTTTGAGTTCTTGCTCTCGTGATATTCGTCGCATTCGTCCGTTTTGCATCCCAGCGCTTCGCAACAACCAATAAAAACAAGTTTTCGTGTTTTTCAAATAATTATTTTACCGTCTATTTATAACAATGCTGTTCACGGTTGTTCGAACAACTAAAAACAACTTGTTCTTTCATCAATGTTGTTAACGCCTGTTCGAACAATATTGTTGACGCCTGATGAACGAACAACGCTGAACAACATTGTTCTGACAACATTTATCAAGCATGTTTCATCAACCTTGTTGACGCTTGTTCCAACATGTTGCAACAACCATTGTTCGTTCATCAAGCGTGAACAAGTTGTTGGAACAATGTTGTTAACGATTGTCGCTTGAACAACGTTGTTCAGCCATGATAACAACATTGTTCGGGCATTGTTCAATGAACAACGCCGAACAACCTGATCAATTTTTACGCGTGTAGTGCGCATGTTAAGTAGAGACAATAACAAAAAAATGTAAACAATACTTAAGGTGGCTTTTCGACTAAAAAATGACTGTAGGGCTCCTTTAAAATTTAGAAAAATGAAAACAATGCTTTTAGCAGCAAGCACTTTCCAAGAGTTTATCTATTGGTCGAGTGTCGAGGGTTAAATGTCGAGGACGAGGGTAAAATGTCGAGGGTGGGGGTAAAAAGTCGAGGGTGAGGGTTAAAAGTCGACGGTAAAAAGTCGAGGGTAAAAAGTCGAGGGTTAAAATTCGAGGGTAAAAAGTCGAGGGGTAAAAAGTCGAGGGTTAAAAAGTCGAGGGTTAAAAATCACAAAAAATACAGGTCAGGTAACCGCTTCGGATAAGGCCATAGCGACGTCTACGTGTCTTCTTGGCAGTATTGTTATATGAGCACTTTTAAACCAAATAATCAAACATTATTCAAACAATCAAACCTATAATATGCGTTCCACGCACACACGTTGGGCGATGTTTTCGCCTTTATTGACAGATCGGGTTACTGACATATCCGACATGCCGCAATTCACTGGCTCGACTAAACATATGTTCTGTTCATGTTAGTGGCCCGTTAGTTATAGTTAAATAAATAACAATCATAAAATTGACCAAGTTTCAATTATATTAGTCATATGTTTAAAACACGACTGATTTGCTTGTGGACACATTAAACAATTCAAACAATGCCAATGGTACAAAATTGAGACCGGTGTCACAGGAGATTCGCCCCCCCCCAGTATATTCGCCCCCCCCCCCTCTCAAAAGGGGGCGATATTCCTAGGATATTCGCCCCCCCGGGGCGAATCTCCTAGGAATATCGCCCCCCTGGGGGGCGAATCTCCTAGGAATATGGCCCCCCCTTTAGGAATTTCGCCCCCCCCCCCCTGGGGGGGGGGCGATATTCCTAGGAATTTCGCCCCCCTGGGGGCGAAAATGTAGGGGGGGCGAAAATGTAGGGGGGGCGAAAATCCTGGGACACCGGCAATGATAACAATAAGTAACTTGACTTCTATTTTAAGCTTAGCTATTGTTTCGTGTGCACTCAGGAAAATTTGGAAAGCGTTTAATAAAATGGAGGTCCGTGATTATTTTCAACGCGGGATTGTTTATAAAGAGTTTCTGTATATCTTAACTGATAGGTACTCGGAGTATTACGCCTGAGTTTCACACCTTAATCTGATTTGCGGAGTAATAATTTAGCCGTTTAAGCACACGCAGTATACCGGCTACAAACGAACCTTGCATATATACATCAAGTTCAATGACAAGTTGCGATATTAATTGCCCCTACATTATCGGTTCATTTATTGCCGATTAAAGGCGTAAAGCAGGGTGCTGTGTTTTAAAGAGCCCTGCTTTGTATGTAATATACTGTTGTTTGTAGAGAATAAACAATATATATTATTTAAACTGATTGTATTGCTGTCTGCACGGCTGCATGCAATGTATGATGCAGGTCAGGACGCAAAGCCACGCATGGCATATTAGTACATTTAAAACGCAGAATACGCGGTCGCCACGTAGTATATGTGCGTGGAACGCATATTAAAGGTTTGATTATTTGGTTTATAGCCTAAGTGCTCGTATAACAATACTGCCGAGAACTCGTCGCTAACCTAACCTTAATATTGTATTTTTTTGTGACTTTTGAACCCTCGACTTTTAACCCTCGACTTTTTACTCTCAACTTTTAACCCTCGACTTTTTACCCTCGACTTTTAACGCTCACCCTCGACTTTTTACCCTCACCCTCGACTTTTTACCCTCGCCCTCGACTTTTTACCCTCGCCCTCGACTTTTTACCCTCGACACTCGACACTCGACCAATAGATAAACTCACTTTCCAAGCATGAACTTGTACTTGCGTATTCGTATGAAGGCGAAAACCGTCCATGACATATTAATATATAATGGTGGATTACTTTGCACTTCGGTACGTTCTCCAATACCCGGGTGTAGCAGCCCTTCAGGTGTCCGTTTGAAGTCCCGGCTAATAATAATTTGGGTATGGCCAATACTGTTTTGCTTTATTGAGGCGACGGCTATTTTAAAATTGATGAGCGAAGCGAGTATGCAAAGAATGGAAGGTCGAAGCTTCAAGGGTGCTGTAAGTTGAGTGGTGGACAAAGGCTTGCAAGCTTTGTTTATTTGGTATATTGTCCGAGTGCAAAACCGGCCAAAAACTTTGAACTTGTAACACTGCAAGTACCGACGAATTACGCATAGCCTCTGGCGAATGGCTGCCAAATGTCTTCCTAGCGCTGGCGAAATTCGCCGTTCGCCGGCCTAAAACAAGATTTATTTAGTTGTGAAGTTAGCCGAGCGAAATACCCTCGCCTCAGACTATTGTCTGAACAGCGCTAACAGTTTTCGGCGTATAGACCTTATCCATAAATCGTAATGAGGCCACGTATCCTAGGAAACGGTAGCCTGCGTCCCAAAAACTACACATTCTGAGTTCCGCCAACCGAACGCATGGCCCGCCCATCTTTATGTATTTATTTTAATTATTTGTCAAACTCACAAATATACCGCTTTGACGTTTCATATCTAATTCGGTTCATTCAATGCTATGAAGACAAAAATACCACGTTCGATTCAGTGTAACAATATGCCCTCATTCATAGCGATAGTTTTAGTCGATGTCAACATTGTAGCGATTTATGAGCTTTGAAAGTCAAGCGAGTTCGTGTATTATCAAATTACGCAATTGTCTGAACAATAACATACATGCAGGGGGTATAAAAAAAACGCAACTACCTCCGAATTTCCTAATAAATCACTTTGCAATAGCGTTGTCCGCAATTGACGTCACGAAAATTCGACCCCCCGCCAAGACTCAGACAAACATTGGCAACATTTAATATAAATAGTATTACGATTAAGAGCTTCCTGTGAGTTAGTTTGATAGTTTGATCGTTTGTTTACAGTTTATTTGTGCGAAATCATACACACCTTGTACTTTTCGCTTTACCTGAAGTGCCAGTGCAAAATATTTTTGCTTTGGAAGTAGAAATATACACTTTTTCGTCACTTTAGTATCGACTGTCATGTCGTTTCTATCATGGGCAGTGTCTACTGTGTTATAATAGTCCATGGTTTGGCGTAACTGTTGCTATAAAGAAAGGGTATGCAAAAGAAAGGACGATAGAAAGTCTGTAGTAGCAGATATTTAACGAAAAAATCTCGTAGTCGTACCAGATTTAATTCGTAGCCCAAGCGAATCAGTTCTAAAGTTCCCTATTTAATGTTGTTGATTTCATGTTACTAACTTACCTCGCTTTAGTGTGCATTATTTTATTACTTTAGACATCTCTTTTATTAATAGCAAAGTCCAATACCAAAGAAGCTAGGATTATTTACTATAATCTATTGACTACATATTCAACTTATAAAATACGGATTTATTAGGAATGTAATTAAAATTTAATACTTTCAAATTTAAACTTTTAAAAAATGTCAAAGATAAACTACAAATATAAAATCTTCCGTTGACCAGTAAAACTATTTTGCTTTGACAATACAACAAAAATATGTTATTATAAAAACAACATTTTTATTTATTTATTTTTAAAGTTTTTTTAAAATAGAGAACCGCCCTTTATTATTAACACTGTGTTAATTAAATAGCCTAACACTGTCTGGTTAAACTATTGCTTCTCTCAGTCATAAATTTAACAACAGACGCTCTCACTAAAAACGATGGCGTCCCAGACTCATCTTTTGAGCATCATCTATCCATCTGATTATACTGTCGATTTATAAACTCAAGCAGTGGTTAAAATGTAGAGGCCGGCTTATAGCAAAGCGGTATAAAACGCCACGTTCTTCTTCAGCGAGTTAGCGATTGCTTTTAATAGTTCGGGAAAGCATCGTTCGCTGGATGTATTGACGGGGGGAAATGGTTAGCTGCGAAAGTTCTTGGAGAATAACCAGCACAGTCCGCAGTCAATAACAGTCAACACATTGCTACTGCTGAGTACTGTTTCAGCAATTATTCTGAGTATTTTGAATTACTTGGACATGTTCCCCAGCAACAGAGCTTAGCAATAACCATGTTTGTAGTTTGGGATAAATTTAAATTCGTTTTAGCACAGATAAAATAAATAAAAACGTCAATTTAGACCAATTTATGTTCGCTGCTAGTACAATTCTATCCAAAAGTTAGTTTGTTTGTCTGAGTCTCGCGGGGGGTCTTCATTTGGAAAATCTATTTTTAGCTACTGCGGACAACGCTATTCTTAAAGTGCCTATGACACGAAATTTCACCCCAAAGGTTTATGGTTGCATTGTGAAGATCACTTAAAATGACTTAATAATTTCTTTTATAGAATTTTGGTAACTTGCTCCCTTTTCAAGATATTCAACATTGTTTCATATGCAAATATCACCGGTGTGACATCACATCACATAATGAGTTTTCAGAAAAGTATAGTTTTCTTCACGAATACGTATCTAAAAAACTTAAAAATTGCCCTTGTATATGTATTAATGTCATAACTGGTAATTAACCCTTTGTATTTGTTTGTAAAAATATTTTATCAAGGTAAAATATTGCGTTTTCAAAATGTCATTATGCGATGTGATGTCACACCGGTGATATTTGCATATGAAACAAAGTTGAATATCTTGCAAAGGAAGCAAGTTACAAAAATTCAATAAAAGAAATTATTAAGTCATTTTAAGTCATCTTTACAATGCAACCATAAACATTTGGGGTGAAATTTCAAGTCATAGGCACTTTAATTAAGCATAAAAGATTTAGGCCCCTGGTAATTGAAATCGAATTGCTAATACATTAAATTGTGCATTAAATAAATGCATAAATTTTGCTTTATGCACTCGCGTGTGCAGTAATTTTGACAGTTGTGCTATTTTAAATTCCCAGGCCCCTAAAATCTTTTGTGTTTAAAACAATGTCGATTCTTGGGAAATTCCGAGGTTGAGTTTTTTTATACACCCTGTAGACTAGCCATACTTTTCGCCGAACATATAAACTTCGGCCCCTTCGGACGTAACTTTGTAATAGTCTTGTTCCAATCGCTATCAAAAACAGTACTTAGAGTGTCATTTACGAGCCTGTATCTTCAAATCTGCACTTTTATCACGGTATCACATATATCAAGCAACAAATGTTGGATTGATATTCGTTGTTCATTCTTCTTCTCAATTAAATAAATTAATACATTCGGTATTTTTGGGTTTATAGTTATAGTGTATGCCGTCACTCGCTATAGTGTATGCCGATATATCGGGCAATTGATAAAACGAGAATAGTGAAGCGAATAGTCGACGAATAGTGCGAATAGTCCGCGAATAGTCGACGAATAGTCGACGAATAGTACGAATAGTCCGCGAATAGTCGACGAATAGTACGAATAGTCCGCGAATAGTCGACGAATAGTACGAATAGTCCGCGAATAGGCGACGAATAGTACGAATAGTCGACGAATAGTGCAATAGAGACTTTGCAAGGCTTTGCAGCAGTGCTGTAGAACTAAATTTACCGGGAGGGGGGGGAGGGGGGCTCTATTGACAAACATGAAATTGTGAAAACATTCGTTGACGTACGTCATGACGTCATACGTAACCGGTAAAAATTACGGGAACCACTGAGTATTTTAATAAAATATAAAACAACGGTAACTCCGAAAATAAACATTTTAATAATATTCTAGCTTTCGACTAAGATTCAGTCATCATCAGGAATGATGCTAGGTTACATTACATCGATATATATATATATATATATATATATATATATATATATATATATATATATATATATATATATATATATATATATATAATTTAATATTTTTAATACAATTTTTCAATTGAATAAGTTGCTACTTTAAGTGGCTGTCTCACTAAGAACCATGCAGAGCGTTTCAGGTTGAAAATTAGATTTCCTTTATATTTTTACCATGAAATACCTTTGTCCTAATAGGTATTAAACTAATATTAGAATTTCCAAATTTTTCTTTTTTTTCGAGTTATGACGAATTTTTGTCTGGACGTCAGCGACACTGAAATTTGACCCCGAAAACGGCGTCAAATGTGTGTTAAATTGTGCATCATAACTTGGAAAGTTTCCCGTCAAATTAAAAACTTTTTTCAGCGTATTGAGACATATTCTTCTTCTTTTAGAATGTTGAAAGAATTTGACTGTACATCTTATTTTAAGCCTACTAGTCTCCATCCAAGGATGTCGGTATTTTCGTTCGCCAAACAACTAATGATTAGGTACAAAATTCAAACTAAAAATTCTCAAAAGTGCAACCTACATGGTGTCTAAAACACTTTTAGAGTTAAAGTAGAATACTTAAAGTTATGTTATTCGCAATAAAACTTGTCGGCAAAAGGAATATGAAGGAGTGCGAAATTCATAAATTATGGCTATAAATAGCTCTATTGTTTACCTTTGTGATAACCGGAAACACGTCCAGCGTTACTCGCGGAGTTTTTATAAATTTATATCAGCAATTAATATAAATATAAAATAGTGTTTATAAGTCCTTATATTTGAATACAAACACCGCCTTGTAATTTTTTTAAGCTTTTGGAAAGCCTTTACAATTGATCGTTTTAAACTTGATTAAAATTACTAAATAGTTGCACGCCAACATAATGTACAATATATTATCATTGTTTAATACGGTACTGATGAGTGTGCCATAAATAGAATACACGCTATATTACGAAAGCAACAATATTATTATAATACTAAACTTTATAGTTAACTTGCTACCTGGTTAGTTATTTTTCGCGTGTTAATTCTTCAACAAACAATTTAATCTCGCAAATTTAATCTTTAATCAAACGTTCGGGAGTTGTCGAAAAAATTTCGAGGTTAATAAATTGTGTTACTGTAGTGTATGCCAAGGGGATTACGTTGGTAGCCAATTCAGTTTAATTTTCTCTAATTTATAAAATAATAATAAAAACCCACGAAAATAATAGCAGAAAATAATAGCAGAAAATAATAGCAGACGCAATGTATACAAGCTGTTCTTGTTCTTCAGTGCCGCTAAGACCGTGCCAGTATTCCCTCCAATCGGGTCCTGTTCGTAAGTGTACAGGAAGACGATGTTTTCAATGTGTCATTATCAAAAACTGTTTTTACTCTTTATGGGAAATTAATTCAAACAGGATCTCGTAAGCATTACGCTACTTTTACTTCTTTACGTGTTGTAATTAGTACTTTAATGACGCGGAGGGAAACATTCTTTTAATATGAAGGAGAATGCGTAAGTTTACGTGTTCTTCATTTTGAGGCGAAAGCACAAAGAGAAATGCTTGTGGACAACGTGTGAAAAGTGCTTGCTGAGATCGACGTATGCCATCTTATATACCATGACGTGTATGATTTATATGACATGTACAAACAGAAGAGCCTGTCTGTTTTTAAAATAACGATGCTGAAAGAAATTTGTGTGCATTTTGAACTTCAGTTCAAATCAAAGGATAAAATACAGACTCTCATAGATAAAATATCATCCATGATTGGGCAATGCACATGTTTCCAAATAAATAACTAAACTGTGCAGGTGCGGACAAATACTCCCAGACTAACTTGGACATGTCGAGAGATGTCATTGTTCTTGGTCCGCGAGTGTGTGGAGCCTGGAACAGTATCGTTAACCCAAATTAAGCACTATAAAAAACACCGCATGCAAACTACGATGT